CAGGAGCAGAGTATGTGGAGATATGTCTAGGGATATCTAGAAGAGTCACCTCATATCAGAGCAGTAATTTCAGGAGGCACAGTATAAAAGTTTAAAAGCTGGAGCAGCCAGGAACTTGGCTATCTCCTGAAAAGAACAGAGGTTCTACAAATGAGGAGAAAAAATAGTGAATAAAGCCTTTCCTTCTGTAAACCAAAGGCAGAGAGAGATCCTGGCAGATCTCTAGAGATTGTGCTCTTAACTTTCAACTTTCTGAGGGTGAAAGACAATGTATTTGGTCTACGTGTTTTCCTGGTTACCCAAAGAAACGATACTGCCTAGGTCTTACGCAAGGCTGATTCATCACCAATTAGTCTATATCACAGTCTGCTGAGCCTTATGTCTCACGCATTCACATACCAGGCACTCTAGAAAGAAAACAACCTGGTGTGAGCTGTCAAAGTCCTCTCAGGTACCCGACCTCACCCTCTGGGGTAGGTTTCATTTCAAAACTGAAAGGGACTGAAGGGCTGGGGAAATCCAAAGATCAAGAGAGCCAGGAATAGGTGATTCCCAGTAAAACAGGATCCCAGGCAGGAACTCAAAACAGAAACCAGACCACTGATAAGGCAGTTTATGGTATCTGTCTTCAAGCCTTCAGATGCCATTTTTATGTTTTCCAATATATGCAATAAGGCATGGCCATGATTATCTAACTTCTGGTAACTAAATATCTAATTCTCCAAGTGTTCAATCAACTTCCTGGCTTTAAGTTTTAGAGCTTTGGGGTAGCTCCAATAACTGAGATACTAGGGAACTGGGGAATTTTGCAGTCCTTCAAATGGACCACATTTTAATTATAATTAATTTAATCATTTCTTCTTCCTTTGGCAAAATTCCTCTCTCACTAAAAGATTTCCAAGTTGTTCATAATGGCCCTCTCATTAGAGCAATATCCAATACAATGAAAGTCTAACTCACAAAGGAGGCTATTTGCTTGAGGTTCATTTTAACTAATTTAGTGACCTTGGGCTCAGTTTCCTCATCTATAAAATAAGGAATTAGAAACAGATGGAAGGAAAGCAATAAAGCTTATTTGAACTAAAAAAAAACTTAAGTTTTTAAGTCTAAAAGGTTCACCAAGTGGCAAGCAAGAGTTATTTTAAAAAGACACACACCTAAGGAGATCATGGCGAAACATAAAGCACGAAGAAAAATTTACAAACTTCCAAAAAGAGAGAACAGGTTATTACTTACAAAGAAAAAAGTATCCTATTGGCATAGGACTTTTCATTTGTATCACTAGAAACTGAAGACAGTAAAAAGCTGCATACAGACTTTGTAGAGACTAGTACTATTCAAGAATGCTAAATCCAGAAAAGATATAATTTATATACCTGAAGGTTGAAAAAACAAAACAAAACTGGATATATAAGGACCTAGAAAGTATCACCCATGTCTCTTTTCTAAGAAAATCACTCGAAGTATCCTAGTCAAATTAATATTTAAAATTGGAACAAAGCTGGAAAAGACAAAGCATACACAGATGTGTTTCCCCTCCCCTCAAAAAAATCTTTTCATGAGGTTGTACCAGATGACTTCTGATGGCCTTTGGGAGTACAGGCAAAAACTGCCCTGTACACAACCGGCCCTGGCAGTCTAGGTTTGTGAGTCGTTCATCACCTAGTGGTTTGATGAAGTAAATGCAGTTTCATCAAGTGCCTGGATAAACCACCAGCCATTTTGTGAGCTCTGACTGTGTACAGGGCAGCAACCTGATATCCTAGAGATTACAAGAGTAGGAGACTACCTCCAGACTCATATACAATTGTATAGATTCAGCTCGTTATCCATTCATTCCCCCAAAATGTGGGAAGGACCCACACTTTGTGCCTAACTAATCAAAAGAAGCATAAATTTTATTGTAAGGCTGTACTTACAAATTAGTAAGAGATAGAGACTGCTTCTGTGCCGACCAATCTGAATTGAATGCAAGTTTAGATGCTACAAGAAAACTGCAGTCCTGGCCTGTTTTTCTCAGTGGTTAGAGTACTGATCTGGGGACTGAAGGGTCATGGGTTCGATTCCTGGTCAAGGGCACATTCTGGGTTACAGGTTCGCTCCCTGGTCGGGGTGCCTGAGGGAGGCAACCAATTGATGTGTCTCTCTCATAGATGTTTCTCTCTCTGCCCCTCCCTTCCACTCTCTCTCTCAAAAAACAACAACAAAACTCTCTAAAAAATATCCTAGGGCCCTAACCGGTTTGCTCAATGGATAGAGCGTCAGCCTGCGGACTGAAAGGTCCCAGGTTCGATTCCAGTCAAGGGCATGTACCTTGGTTGCAGGCACATCCCCAGTAGGGAGTGTGCAGGAGGCAGCTGATCGATGTTTCTCTCTCATATCCCTCTAACTCTCTATCCCTCTCCCTTCCTCTCTGTAAAAAAAATCAGTAAAATATATTTAAAAATAAATAAATAAATAAATAATATCCTAGGGTGGATTAAAAAAAATTTTTAAAAAGAAAATTGTAAATATGCTTTAAAAAATCAGTAAAATATATTTAAAAATAAATAAATAATATCCTAGGGTGAGGATTAAAAAAAATTTTAAAAAAGAGAATTGTAAATATGCTTAATAAATACGAAGAATGTCTTCCAACATTCACAAGACTGGCATGTGGTAGATTGTATTTCTTCTGTATGGTTCCAGGGGACAGGCCTAAAACGGATAAGTTATCTAATTAGATTACAATTCAAAACAAGAAATAATTTCCTACCAATGAGAGCTATTCAACAACATAATGGGACTCCTCAAGAAGTGATGAGTTCCTCAGCAATGGAAGTATTCAAAAGGAACTTGGATGGTCATCTGTCAAGGAATGACAGAAAGCATTCCTGTAACTAACTGGATGGCAATCTGGAGACAAGGAGCTTGACTGTATTACTGCACATGCCCTTTCCAACTCCAAGGGTCTATCATTCTAAATAGAACAAAAACAAAACAATCAAACAAAACCCACCAATAAATAGAGTCCTCTCTCTGCTTTTTTTTTTTCAGCTCCAACCCGACATTATAACTTAGTGGATTTGATACCACTTTCCACTTGAGTAAATATAGACAAAGTATTAACTTTATTTGCTTCACTTTCATTATCTGTAAATATACAAGTACCAATCTCATAATATAACTATGACGATTAAGTAATATAATACTTTGTAAAGTACTTAAAAAAGTGCCTATCACATAGAAAGTATATAAAACTAGCATCTTGAAAAGGAAAGTGGACTGGTGAGGTAGGGGGTAGTTTGGAAAGTGAAACCTAAATGTGCTGCTTGTTTTAGTTATCTATACCCAATCCTCAACCAAAGCATTCCTGACTGTTGCTGGCCAGAGGCAATGTTCCCTTGGCAACCATCATCAAAAAAGAGCTCAGACCTGCCTTCTTCAGGAAGGCAGCTCACTCTCTGCCTAGAACTCTGGCATCTTCCCTGCACAAAGCAGACTCCCTAAAACCTCACAAATACCACTGCTTCAAAGTCAAGAAGCTGAGCTACTATTACTCTCCTCATTTCATATGATCAATCAGAGAACATCAGAGGTAGGAGGGATCTGTCTCAGAGATGGTTCAGAGCGACACATCTGCTTAATGAATGTGGACAATAATGCTGAGAAAAGTGAAGTTCTGGACCAGGCAAGTTGGTGATAGGGTCAAGACAAGATCACTCCCCTCGACACAAGGGTTTGTAAAAAGATAAAAAAAAATAATAATAAATAAATAAATAAAAGACAAGATCACCCTGGCCAGTGTAGCTCAGTTGATTGAATATCATCCCATGCACCAAAAGGTCGCTGGTTCGATTCCAGGTCAGGACACATGCCCAGGTTGTGGGCTCAATCCCCAGTGGAGGGCGACCAGGAGCTAATGGATGTCTCTCTCTCTTTCTCCTTCTCCCTTCCTCTCTGTAAAATCAATAAAAATAATAATGAGGAGGAAGGTCACAGGCCCAACACTCAAAATCTTCCCATTTTTTCAATGGGAAAAACAACTCGTCCTACTAAGCCACCAGGCCCATACTTTACACAGGTAAGGGAGGAATACGAGTAGAGTGTAGAGGTTAAAAGCATGGATGCTGGAGCCAGATTGCTTATTCAGATCCCAGCTGTACCACTTACTGTGTAATTTTAAGCCAGTTTCCTAACCTCTCTCTGTTTCTATAAAATAGGGATAAGAGCAACTATTTTATAGCATTATTTTAAGGATTAGATGAGATAATCCATGTAAAATGCGTGGCACATAGAAAGTGTTCAACGTGTACATTGCTCTACTTCTCATCATTACCAGGTTTATTAAGAAGAGAAACAAATCATACTAACTAGAGAAACCAGACAAGCTTCTACCTCTAATCCAAAGAGCACTGGGAAGGGCATAGGTGTTTATTCAGCTGTTTTCTGGCCAGGAAACACCCTATGGGTTAGTTATGGAGAAGACCATCAACCCACCACTCATTCGTTTTTTTTTGGATCTAGGTAAGAATCAACTCAAAGAATAACCAAGCACATGCTATGGTGATAAGATGCTTAAGATAACAAATAAAGATTAGTGAGGTCCAAACCCAAGCCTAGCTTTTACATCTATGTTTATCTCAGGTTGGACAAAATGCAGTTCTTATCCAGTCTCTTCCCCTAAACCAGCGGTTCTCAACCTGTGGGTCGCGACCCCTTTGGCGGTCGAACAACCCTTTCACAGGGGTCGCCTAAGACCATCCTGCATATCAGATATTTACATTACTATTCATAACAGTAGCAACATTACAGTTACGAAGTAGCAACGAAAATAATTTTATGGTTGGGTCACAACATGAGGAACTGTATTTAAAGGGGCAGAAGGTTGAGAACCACTGCCCTAAACCCATGAAGGTGGTGTAGTGTAATGGTTAAGAAAGAGTTCTGAAGTCTGGCTGCCTTGGAGCAAATCCCATCATTTATTTACTGTGTCACTTAGGCAAAAAAATCTTACCTCTCTCTAAGCTTTGTTTCTCCATCTGTTAAATGAGGATAACAATTATTTTAATTACGATAACAGCTGACATTTGGTGAGCATTTTCTATGTGCCAAGCACTATGCTAAGCACTTTATATGGCTTACATTATTTTAATCATTACAACAATTTTATGAAGTACTATTATTACCCTCATTTTACAGATACAGATGAGGAAAATGAAGTATTTTTCTTTTCTTATCCAAGGCCACATGGCTAGTTGCTGGCAAAGCTTGGCTCCGTGGATAGAGCATTGGCCTGCAGACCAAAGGGTCCCGGGTTCGATTCCGGTCAAGGGCATGTACAGTGGGGCCTTGACTTACGAGTGTCCCGACTAACGAGTTTTTTGAGATACCAGCTGTCTCTCGGCTGATTTTTTGCATTGAGTTGACAGAGTAATTTGAGTTAACGAGCTCCTTAACGAGCTCTAAGGAGCTCAGTCTCGGAACAAATTAAACTCGTAAGTCAAGGCCCCACTGTACCTCGGTTGCAGGTTCCTCCCTGGCCTGGGCCCTGATCAGGACTCGTGCAGGAGGCAACCAATTGATGTGCTTCTCTCAAATCAATATTTATCTCTGTCTTTCCCTCTCTCTTCCACTTTCTCTAAAAATCAATGGAAAATATCCTTGCGTGAGGATTAAAAAAAAAAAAAAGCTGAAGAGTCATTGCAAGACGTCTGACCTCAAAGTCTATGTTCCTTACTCCTAACACTGTTCTACCTCTCATAGCACCAGCCTGATATGGTTGTTATGTTGTTAAAATAAGACAATCCACAAAATGTGCTTAGCACAGTGCCTGTTTCATCAAGGTTAGCCATTACTATTATTGCTATTATCATCATCATAGACTCCTTTGAACCTCTCTCAAATTTTTACGGTCTCCAACTAAAAAAAAAAGCCCTCGCCGGTTTGGCTCAATGGATGGAAGTGTCTGCCTTCGGACTCAAGGGTCCCGGGTTCGATTCCAGTCAAGGGCATGTACCTTGGTTGCGGGCACATCCCCAGTAGGGGGTTTGCAGGAAGCAGCTGATCGATGTTTCTCTCTCATCGATGTTTCTAACTCTCTATTCCTCTCCCTTCCTCTCTGTAAAAAATCAATGAAACATATTTTTAAAAATAAATAAATAAAGGAAAATGGTTGTTTTCCTTTCTAGATACCAACTCACTGGGCAGCAAGGAGTGGGGTTCTAGCATTTCATTTCTCTCATGCAATATAGGGATAAGCATCTGAGTAGAGAGAAATATTTTCTATAAACAACTATTCTATAAAGCAATATATTAGTCTTTGTTTTCAAAAAGAAAAGCTTCATTGTTCTCATTAGAAAAGAAACATGCTTATTAAAATTATTCTTTCAAAATAAAGCAGAAATATACAGTACTTGCTTTAAAAAAAATTATCTGTCCTTTACAATCTTCTCTTTTCATTCTCCTAGTCTCAAACCCATGTTATTTAGTCATTTAATCCTCACATTATCTCTATTTGACAAGTGCAGAAACTGAGGCTCAAGACCAAACGGCTAATAAGTGGATAGTCAGGAATTCCGGAAAAGAATTTTCAGATATGGAAGAGGTAAAGTTAGTAAACTCTTGCACTTATCCTGAGAGGAGGTGGCTATGACAGAAGGTTCTTAGGAGGTACCTAAAAATAACTAAGACTGATAATGGGATTTTTAAGAAACTCTTGCTATTAACAAGGCAAAACCAAACACAAACTGTAACCTAAAAGCCAGTAATGCCAGGTAGCTATTATCAAACCTGCCCTCCAAGAGGCAGTGCAATTATTTTTATTTTTTTTGCATTTATTGTATTTTATTTCAATCGATTTAAAACTTATACCTAACCTTATTTTTCGAAAACTTTTAGCTTAACTTGTATATGTAAATTTACTTTTTCTGCTGTAAATTTTATGAAAGCTAAATACAGACCAAATATTTCCAATGAAAATTTAGCACATTTTTTTCTTTCAGTTTCAGCAAATTATTAAGTCTGACAAAGCAGGACTTTGTCTCTGAAAACATTCATACTCTTGCACACCAGTCCTTACCTCCCCAATTCCAAAATGATGTATTACTTTATCCTGCTAGAAAACACAGTACTGTTTTGGTCAAAATAATCATTTTTTAGACTAAGAAACTTGAGGGCAGCCCTGGCCAGTGTGTCTGTTGGTTGAGGACTGTCCATGCACCAAAAGGTCACTGGTTAGATTCCCAGTCAGGGCGCATGCCCAAGTTTCGGGCTTGATCCCCAGTAGGGGGAAGGAGGGGCCGGAGGCAGTCGATTGATGTTTCTCTCACACATGGATGCTTCTCTCTCTCTCTCTCTAAAAAATCAATAAAACATTTTTTTAAAAAAGAAAGAAACGTGAGGGCAGGAACACCATCTTATTCATACAGATCTTCCTCTCCTTATCCCTCTATGTGGGCTCAATCTCCTGTGGTGGGCAAGCAGGAGGCAGCCAATCGATGATGTTTCTCTCTCATCGATGTCTCTCTCTCTTCTTCTTCTCCTTTCTTCTCTCTCTAAAAAAATCAATTAGAATGTATTTTTAAAAAGAGCAAAGGAGGAAGAACATTTAGAAACTATTCTAATAGTAGCAGAGGAAGTAGTGTGAAGTGTTCAAATCCTGAATGTATTATTTCAAGGTACAGATGACAGGACCTGCTGGTGTACTGGATGAAGAGAGTAAGAGAAAAAAACAAGTCAAGGGAGAGGTCACCATACATTCAATACAACTGAAACTGAGATGGGGATGAATTGCCAGAGATAGAGGTTTGAGAGAAGTTCCAGAGTCCATTTTTTAAATATGTTAAGTTCAAGAAGCTATCAGATACCCAAGTGGAGGTATCCAGTAGGCACGAGGATATAAAAGCCTTGAGTTCAGGGGAAGACATTCACTTGAGAATTGTCAGGGTATAAATAGTATTTAGTCTTGAAATAAAGCACCTAGGAAATGAGCATAGACAGAGAAGGAATCCAAGGACTGATCTGAGTACTCCATCATTGGAGGCTGAAGAGTGAAGGGTGGGGGATGGAGAGGGAGGTTGAAAAGGAGGAAGGATGGATGGTAAGGTAAGAGGAGAACCACGGAGTGGCATCCTGGAAGCCAAGTGAAACTAGTGTGCAAGGAGGGAGTGTCAAATGCTACTCAGAGGTCAAGAAAGAAGACAGCCCTGACCAGTTTGGCTCAGTGGATAGAGCGTCAACCTACGGACTGAAGGGTCCCAGGTTTGATTCCGGTCAAGGGCATGTACCTTGGTTGCGGGCACATCCCCAGTAGGGGGTGTGCAAGAGGCAGCTGATCGATGTTTCTCTCTCATCGATGTTTCTAACTCTCTATCACTCTCCTTCTCCCTCCCTCTCTGTAAAAAATCAATAAAATATTAAAAAAAAAAAAAAGAAAGAAAGAAGACAACTGAGAAATGATTACTGAATGATCTATGTGTTATTTTCTAAGCATGTTCTTCCCTACTACACAATATCACTTATCTTTTAATCCAAGGAAAATCCCAGTATTAGCCTATGAATACACATAAGGTTTCTGTTTAATGCAAATATATCCGTGTCTCATAAAAAAAAAATCAATGCTCTTAATCTAGACACAACATATTTTACAGTGAATAATGTTGAACAAATGCTTTGTCTGGTTCAAGTAATTGTCTCTCTGAAACAAGGTCCCCAACTACATCTTGCTTGTGCTCAGGAGGCGAAATCAGATAATTCAGCTATTTAAAAGTATTTATTTTGTTCTGCCACAAAGTAGCAATTACTCTTCAACTCATTTCCCTGTTCCTTAATTCAAACATCCTAGCCAAGACCCTAAATTTCCACATACTCCTTTAAAAACAAAGCAGAACACAATCAAATTCAAAACTTGGATGAGAAAGAGATATGTTGTGCCCTCACCTTCTTTCTTTTACTGCACAGAAGGTTAACAATCATTTGCTAACTCAAAAGCTGTGATTTATTTACATTTTGTCCTTACACTAAGATAGGAAATAAAATTTCTGGTGTCTTAATCTTAAAAAAGAATTACTGCTACAAAATAAGGACTTTAACTCTGTGCTCTACCAAGTAAAGTCTCAATAATCTACATTTCTGAAGCAGAACAATCATCACCAATAACTGGATCATGCAAACATCGTTCATGCCTTCCTAAAATGGCTATAACTTCTGAAGGAACTCTGCCTGTAATACCCTTCCCTGCCCTCCACCTTGCAATTTCCCAACTTGGGACTCAGCCTGAATGTTAACTTCTCTAGGCAGCCTAGATCCCTGGGTCCCCTCCAAAACTGCATCAAGGTTCCTCGCTGAGCCCATAGCACCCTCTGCTTACTCATATCCTAACACTTTAACACTCTGAACTGTAAATCTACTGACTAGTCTATCTCCCTCTCCAGACCATAAACATCTTGAAGGCAAGGACAGGATCTCATTCATTTGAATATCCTTAGTGTTGGGGATATATCAAACAATCAGTGTTTATTGAATGAATAAAATGAAATTTGACCTGGAATACCTTATGTGATTTTGTAGCACATTTTCCCTTAATAAACTAATTGAACTGATGCTGATATTAAAATTACTGGCACCTAATCACTTCCCCAGCTGATAGCAAAAACAAAAATATTTTCCCCACCTGATACTGGAAATAAAAAAATTAAAAGAGATTTGCTGCTCAAGATCAGCTCAAGGAGGAGTTATTATACCAGCTGCTCTTCCTGGTTCAAGACAGCAGCCTATGCTTCCTACAATACAGGAGGGGCTAATGGATCTCTGGATTGTTCTTGTCACCTCCCTTCCACCAATCCTGTATTCTCCTCTTTTCTGCCCTATTATTTTCTCTTTCCTTTTCTTACCTTCCTTTCCTTTCTCACTTTTGATACTTATCATTTGCTAATTATCTGTTCTCATTTCCTCTTTAACTTTTTTCTGTACTCCCTTCTCCATGCCTTATTTCAGAGTGACCCTGGAGAATCCATGGGCATTGCTTTGCCCAACTGGGAGAACTTAGGCCAAGGATGTTGCTGTATCTCATCACTTCTGTAAGGCACACCAACATATTTCTTCTGTTTCTGAGGAAACAAGTACCGACCTTATAACAGCAATGCAGGGTCACCAGCAAATAAAGTCAAATTGTTACTATCCACACAAAGTGGGAATGACGTTTCTGGGCTGCACTCTGAAAGTAATGAGAGAAAAGGACTCTTAATTTACTATAATTTTAAATGAAAGAGAAATGGGAAGCTAAATGTGAAAAGGGAAGAGAAAAAGAAACCATGTTTTTTTTAAAAAAAAATGCTGGTGTGTTGGTAGGGCAAATTGAAAAAGCTGCAGTATACTTACTGGGCCAGGTAGTTCAGGAAAAAAATGTAATCCCTGCCCCCTGGGAATCCAAGAGTCTTACTGAGTAGGAATCATGCCCACCACTCCCCAAATCCATAAATGTAAACATTAGAAAATAAGAAGGAAGAGATTCTCTTAAACCAAAAGAGTCAGAAACTTAACATAAGTGGATTGGATGTTCTGAAACAGAAAAATAAAGACTGAATGGAAAGCTTTCCGAGTTTAAAATAGAGGTGTTCCATGTATCAAAGTCAGTGTCACAAACATGAGAAGCAAAGGAAAGGAACAATCCACAACTAGGAGGCAAGAGGCTCAGCTCAGGTCCTACTAAGCTGTGTAAACTTGAGCAGGTCACTTCACTACTCTGATCCAGAAATGGATCTTCCATAAAATAGGTAGAATAATATCTTTCTGGAAACATTGCCTGTGATGATTAAATAAATAATGTGATATCACTTTGAAAGGTTTTGTTTAATAGTAAGTCAATGTGAGGTAAGGGGAAGCAAAAATCCTTCCTCTGAATGGAGTATAAATCCTGTGGTTCAATTTCCAGAGTCTAAGCCTGATTCACCTGCCCAGCCTCGTTAAACCCCTTAACCAACCTGCAGCCACTCAAGTGGGAGGAGAAAAGTCCTGTGTGAGGCTCCAGAGGTGGGGTGGTGACTATTTAGTCAGTTGCTCCATTATCTCAGTGGCTTCATCTGTAAAATGGGTGGTGTCTGAAGAAGTGAATAGTCCAGCGCCCTTTTTGCCAGATCTCAGGATCACCAGAGGTACCTGTGGCCCATACAACACATTATCAATACCAAAACATATTACAACTTAATAAACAGCCAAATGGAGGCTATTCTTGGGAGGAGGTATAAGACTCTGGAGGAAGTGGGCAGATTAAGAACTAGTAAAGTGAGGAGATAGATAGAGTCCTGAAGGTAAGAAATTAAGAGGAGGAAGTGGGCAGATTAAGAACTAGTAAAGTGAGGAGGTAGATAGAGTCCTGAAGGTAAGAAATTAATATTTCAAGCATAAAAGACTTAAGATAGGCAGTCTTGTGAATAAAGACCCAATGGATAAAATTTTCTTTAGGGAAAATAAATAGGTGGCAGATGCTTTGAATCATGATTAATTCTTGATTATATGTATTTTAGTCCTTTTGTTGTCTCTTAAGTTTTTAACATTTACTAATATTTTTAATTCCCTAATCAACTATCTCCCTACAACAGTGATGGCGAACCTATGACACTCGTGTCAGAGGTGACAAGCGAACTCATTTTTTTGGTTGATTTTTCTTTGTTAAATGGCATTTAAATATATAAAATAAATATCAAAAATATAAATCTTTGTTTTACTGTGGTTGCAAATATCAAAAAATTTCTATATGTGACATGGCACCAGAGTTAAGTTAGGGTTTTTCAAAATGCTGACACGCCGAGCTCAAAAGGTTCGCCATCACTGCCCTACAAGATAAGGCCCTCTATAGAGAACACTTCTACTTTAGGAGTTAAGTATTCACGCTCTGGGCCCAGATTGCCTAGCCTGAAATCCTTGCTTTACTAGCTATGTGACCTTCTTAGACGAAATCCTTCAGCTCTCTGTACCTCTGTGAAAAGGAAGTAACATCACTCCCACCTCAGGATGGAACCCTGCTTAGGCACCTATTTGTTGCTGGGCCCACAAGCTTTTTAATACATTGAACTCAGGAGGTTTTGTGGGAATTATATATGTACATTAATCATATTGGTAACACCTAATAACGGGTTTTTCATCACTTTAGTTTTGATGTGCCCTTATTTTTTTATTTTTAATCCTCACCTGAGGATATTTTTCCACTGATTTTTTTAGAGAGAATGGGAGAGGGAAAGACAGAAAGAAATACTGATGTGAGAGAAACACGTTGATTGGTTGTCTCCTGCACTTGCCCTGACCAGGGCCCCGGCTGGGGAGGAGCCTGCAACCGAGGTACATGCCCTTGATTGGATTGAATCCGGGACCCTTCAGTCCGCAAGCTGACACTCTATCCACTGAGCCATACAGGCTAGGGCTACTAGCATGTACCCCTATTTTTAACATAAAGGCAAAAATAAAAATCACCAGAGTAGCCCTGACCAGTGTTCTCAGTGGTTGGAGCATCCGCCTGAGCACAGAAGGGTTGTGGGTTGGCTCCCTGCCCTGATTGGGTGTGGGAGGCAATCAGTCAATGTGTCTCTCACATGGATGTATCTCCCTCCCTTTCCCTCTCCCTCTCTCCCTCCCTCTGAAAATGCAATGGAAAAAATATCCTCTGGTGAGGGTTAACAAAACAAACAAAAATCACCAGGCAGTGTGGCTCAGTGGCTGAGCATCGACCCATGAACCAAGAGGTGACTGTTCAGACTCCAGTCAGGACACATGCCCGGGTTGAGGGGCTTGATCCCAGTACGGGTCATGCAGGAGGCAGCCGATAGATGATGTCTCTCTCCCTTCCTCTCTCTCTAAAAATCAGTAAAACATATTTTTTAAAAATTACCCGGATATATTGCATGTAGTAAAGGATAAGTACCATTTTACAAAAATGTTGTTTCTGTTCTATACATGGTACACAGAGGTCTGTGATTATGTAAAATGTACTCCTCACAGTGGTGTGCTTCTGAAAAGCGGGGACCTCTGAATTCACACACAATGAAGCTCTGCACGGTGCCCGGCACAGAGTGCGCCTGAGCGCTCTTCCCCGGTTGCTGCCGTGATGCACCTGCCCGAGGAGGTGTCTGCAGGACTGTGCCGCGGCCATGGGAACGCGCCCGGAGAGGCTGGCGACGGGCTGTGAGTGAGAGGAAGCAGAGGCCCTGCGCTCCGGGTCGGACACCCACGCGCAGAGCCTGCTGAGGCACAGGTGTTGCTGGGCCCACAGGTTATTTATGACCCTGCACTGAGGCGCCCACAGACTGCACTGTATCTAACTCTGTCACGCTCTGTCAATATTTGCGGAGAAATGGGGGCCTGGCGCCAGTGTACAACTGTCTGTCTTTACCTGGTGGGGTGGGGAAGGCGGAGTCACAGCCACTGGAGCTGAAGGAAGCGAGTGAGTCAGAGAGAAACTGCTGCTCCCTGGAGCCGGGCGGACGCCGAGGGCCCGGGTGAGGCCGGACTGACAGCTGCCGGGCCTCCGCGCGGCTGAGTCACTGCCCTCCCGTCCTCACCCGGCGCCTCATCCAAAACAACCCCGGAACCACGGGAACCCCCAAACGCGTACAAACGGGGGCAACTCCCCACCAAAAGGTCACCTGAGGGCATCCCTTTAAACGACAAGCCCACCTGGACGTGCAACTAGCACTTAGATTCTAAAATTCTCATGTACAGAAAAACTTGGAGATGTGCTCACCCATAAGGAAATAAGGAGGTCTGGGTTCCATCCTTGACACTGTGACCTTGAGTTAATCACGTCATCTCCCTGTGCCTAAGTGAATTCATCTGCTAAAAAAAAAAAAAGAGAGAGAGAGAACGATCATACCACCTACCTCGGAGGATCGCGGTAAAATGAGATGGTTTGCAGTAAAATGCCTCGCACAGACCGAGCCGTGGTCCAGGCACAATAAGTGTCCCTTCTAGACTAAGCGTGACCACCAGGGGCAAACTGAGGGTCACCGTCCTACTCGCCGGCGGGAAAAACCACCGGCCGCCCGGTCGCCTCGGGGACACGGTGTTTCACGGACCGACGAGGCCATTCCTGGTCTCCCCTCGGGGCGCGGGGCCGGGGGGCAGCCGTTCCCGCCCCGCTCCCTAAGGCAGCGACCCCCAAGTGCTTTGTTACTGGGGCTCCCGTGGCCCAGGGGCCCAGCCCCCACTGGGACTGAATTTAAACTGAGCGGCAGCCTCGGTTTCATGCCTACATTTTAGTTCCCATTCCCGGTTCCAAATAACGAGAGAACGGCATTAAAGGTCGCCCCCCGCCCAGGTGTGGACCACCCTGTGGGGGCGTCGGGGGGTGAGGGG